TAATCGTCCAGTTTTTACATTCAATCGAGCCTACCCAAGCCTTTCCATTCCTAAGCTAGGGTAGGCTCGCGCCTACCCAGGCCTAATGGCTCCGCCGCCTATGATCATTAGATTGTTTCGATTTTTAAACTACACTTACTTTTATAGAACTTTTTTTCACTAATACTTTGATCAACAAACTAATATTTGTTTTTTATTTTATGTGATGCTTTATTACTATCATTTAATCATACGGATACTCACTCATTGGTATTTTCTTGATTTTCACATGATATTTGATAACATAGTAGAGAGCAGACGTGGATGCGGGATGAGTTAAATCAATAATCACCCACACTCACACCCATCCTAGACCATCTAGGATTTTATGCATTGCGTTTCGAAACCATATAACGTCGAATTTCTCTTTGTAGAATTGAACTTCTACTCCAATATGGATCAGTCAAATTTCGATCGGTACCGGCTTCATTCCGGAACATATTGGGACACCTATGTGAGCGAACGCGGCGGAAACAATCTTGGCCGCATTTACTTTTGGCTCAAACGTGATGGAATTATCGACTACGATGATCTGACTGATGACGAGCGAATGGAATTGTTACACCTGTATGCAACCTTCAAGTGTTCGCTCCGTCGACTTTTCAACTTTGATGGTCCACTTAACTTTGCCTATCTCGCCAATGAGGAATCGCATGGGCACCATTGCCATTATCATGTTGTGCCGCGATACAAGGAGAAGAGAGAGTTCATGGGCATTACATTTGTGGATGTTGCCTGGGGCAAGCTATGGGTTTCAAAGAATATGAATGAAGATCTCGCCATTGCAGTTGGCAAAGCTATATTGAAGGAAGTGGAGATGTGAGATTATTCTAGGAAGTTGAGCAATCGTTTAGCATGATGGTACGTATAGTAGTTTCTGTATAACCTAACATATAAAATTAACAATAAACCAGAAGTTCGGATTTTTTCAATATTTCAACTACACTTATGTCCTTTACTTTTATTGTCTTTTTTCGTAGTTTATTCTTGCTTTTACTGTTGAACGTTCGTTTCTTTTACCAATTGAAGACCAATAACATAAAAAATGCTTTATTTTTATGTTTGCATATATACTAAGTACAGAAGAAGGCATAATTTCAAGAAAAGATCATCAAAACTCAGATAATTGTGGAGTTATGAAGAAGAAATTAGAAATGATCGATTAAAGTATCAACATCTAATTGGTTTCTTCAGAAACGCATGTTGTGCAAAAACAATCTTTATCTTAAAAAATTCATACTCTCCTAAATGACTTGAATATAGCAGAAAATTATTAAATTATGTGGTAATCTTTTTACGTCTGTCAACTTGTCATTTTTCATAGATGTACATGCATAAGACCAACATACATCTTTAATTTTCTATCGTTATAAATTTGACTCAAAAATTATTAAAGAAAAAGAGCAGCATACCTCATTTGTTCTTTCTGTTTTGCATCTATTGTATTTACTCATAAGATTATATTCAGATAATAAGTTTAACTATCATTGGAAGACCAAAAAGGCTTTTTATAATATGTTAGAAAAATTAAACCGATACCTGTACGTCTTTTTGTTACATTGATCGAATTTAATGACAGATCTATCCATGTCTCAACAAATATCAATGAAATAATAGGAAAAAGGTATTCATGCTTGAATGCAAATCAATATATCTTTTGATGTTTTATATTCTTGTCAGGCATTCGCTATTCAACATAAACCGGTGCAATTTTAAAGTCACTGACCATATAATCAGCAAGTTATCTGAAAAACATTCTACACATGTTTTCATCGAAACGTAACATGAATTTAATTATCGTTACTGATGAGGAGTCTAACTCGAAAAAGTGAACAGGAAATCAAAAAGAGTGTGGGCCTGGATGTAGATGTACGGAAATAGCGTTATAGCTAATAAATCCTCAATAATTAAATAAATCATGCAGAATAGATAAGTCCCGGTAGCCACCCACACCCACTCTCGATGATGAAATGGACGTGACAGTCTGGGGCAATCATATCTATTTTAAATACCAATGCAATGGAAAACCAGTCCTTGTCTGAGGTAAGGAAGAGTAAAATACATGTAAAATAGTTCATGTTTTGGTTATTTGTTTTAGTCAGACGACAGTGAACGCTCAAATAATGGTAAGAACAGCATTCATGCTCACGCTTTCAATATAATAAGCAGTTATGGTTCTCGCAGATGTCGACTTGACTGAAAGAAACAGGTATCGCAGAGCAAAGCAAATAAAACTCGTCACGCCTTCTCGTGATGATCTAATAAGACAAAAGTACCATAGAGACTTGATCAAAAACGTGAATGTGGATGCCTTTCGCACTGGCTTTGAACTACAAGGACTCAATAAAAAAGATAAAATATCGTTATTTAACAAGTATTTACTTCAAGAATCGATGCCGATTCCATTGCCAGATCTTGTTAAAGACAAGTATTTGGCTCTCCTCTATAATGAACATTTTGAGATCGACTTGTTTACAACGGATACTAAACATGAAGTGCTCACATCGAGTGAGACATTCATGATGGTTCACATAAAATCATGCGTTCAAAATGACCATCTCACGTGTGTAATCTCCTATGCTGAAGTGAAGTTGCCGAAAACTTGGACTGCTGGTGAATTGCCGCTGGATAATTTCAAAGCAATCTTGCAATCGTTCTGTATCGATGCATCGAGTGAGGATTCACAGGAACGCCAAAAGGCTATTACAAGCTAAAAATGAAGTGATAAATCCGACTATTTCACTAACTGTTTCACTCTATATAAGAGCTATTATAAAATTTAATCATCATTCAATCTGAACTCTTTGGGGTGTGGGTGTTGGTTTCGAAGAGTGAACAGAATACTCACATCCACATCACACACCCTTCATGCAATTGTCGTCAGAATAAATGTGAAAAACATGGTACACTACATGATGTTGACTGAAGGGGCTTGGGTCTGAGTGAGGCTGTAGAGGTGGATGTACGGAAATACCATTATAACTAATAAATCCTGAATCATTAAACAAACTCCGCAGAAGAAATAAGTCCCTGTAGCCTCTCCCACGCACCCACAGTCACACCTCACACCTGAAACTAAGTGCCCTCTATAAAATGAGACCTTTCTTAGCTATCTGTGATCTTTCCTTTTGGAGCTCTGTATTTTTTTAAGATTAGCCGCTGAAGATCCTAATTCAACCTTGTTCACTTTGCAAAAATCATCCACAGATGTGCTGAACAATCAAACCTTTTGAAAATTCCTTATTCATCACAGTCATTATGAATGGATTATTGCAAGCCTTGTATACTTTCAATGTGTAAAGTACTTATATCATGTCATTCATTTTTTTAAATATCATATTCAAATGAAGCACGAAATAAAAAAAAATCACACAAATAGTTTTGATAAATATTAGCACCAATTTTTTTCTCAGCAGCACGAACTATATTTCTATGATCATTCTTCGTCCTCTTTTGCTTTTGTTATAATTGATTTCATATGGACATCATGTTTCAATGTTGCTGTTCCTTGACCTTCACGCAATATTTTTCCACGAACATTTACTATAACAGATCTTTGTTGCGATGTCGATGTTTCTCTCAATAAAAATGTTCGATGAAAATGTCCAGGTATAGTTTCTGGATTAATTACGACTTCAACTTGAAAATTGGTTTGATTTTCGGACTGAGATTGTGAAAGTTCAGTCACCAATAGTTGCAATCCACCTATATGTTGATGATCGACAATGGCCTCTAGTTTGATAGGAGCTTGATGAAAAACCACATCCATTGTCATTGTATAACTATGAGACAGTTTCAAAATACCAAAATATAGATCAAACGAGCATTCATTATTACAACATTGGTCCCACTGTAATTCAGCTAATAAAAAGAGATTAAAAAAACAATAATAATGAGATCAAAAACAACAATAAAAAAAGTGAATACTGGTCTTAAGTGAATTTTGTTCATGTTTATTTGATGAATCTGGTGCATCGACAGTGAATCGAACACCTGAAAAATATTAAAAAAAAACAATTTTGAATTTCTCGTTACAGTTTTTCTAGCTTTACCACCAACTTTTCGAACACGAGGAGAACTGTTGTCTACCATCTGAAAGAAAAGACATAAATGAAAATCATGGAGAAAAGGATAAGTTAATTTTATGACAAATGTATTTTTTTTTGTTAAATCGAACAACGGAATGGATAGGTCCTCATTCGTTCATCCTTAGCTTTTTTTTTATCTTCATGAAAAGGCTTATTGCTCGTTATTTTTCAAAAATTTGAAAGATCTATTACGTGGAAAGGTAAAAATATCTCGAACGTTTTCACAAACATTCTCGTTTCGGTTCTCTGGCAAATTTCTGTCATGCTCTATTTTATCATATCGGTCACTGATCGGATCGGCAGACATAGTTTTCAAAGAACATGTAGATTCTCCATTTTTTAATCGAACAGTAATATTTTTCCAAAAAGCATGATGAGTACACCTACGCATTGAGTAATCTTTGTATCTACATCATATTATTATTACTATAGTTTTTCTTCTTTTTCATATAAATAATACTTTTTCTTTATATGCCTCTGGCTTTTTATACTTATATGTCTATTATTTTACAATGATTATTTTCTAAATATGGCATAAAAATTCAAGTTCAATTTATATATACTCGTCTACTTTATTATAGAAGCGACTAACCATCTGTTTATAGGAATAGATAGAAACATATCTATTTAGCCTTTTAGCATTCGAACATTTACATATATAAGTTCGAATGGTAAAGACCTTATGTTTCTCAATTTCATCCTACATTCCGAATAAAGAAAAATCTAATTTGTGACATATAATTATGTTGTACAAAGATAGTCAATTTGTAAAATTTTCTACAAAAGAATATGTTGCAAACTGTTCGTACTTTTCTGATACTATCGCAAGAAAGATACCCAAAATGGTGATCTTAAGAGCAACTCATTACAGAGATTATATAATATATATATTTCTTACACTAATAATGGGCATGTGTTTATTTCGTTCTGAATGAACGAGATTAGTAGGGCTCCTAAGATATAGGAACAAGTTGTTAAGTTTCGAATAGAAAATAAATTGTTTTTCTTTCTAGCGCATTAAGATAATATTATATTGTCTTTTCATTTTGATATCCATACTTTTCTTTATAAAATGCAACAATCACAAACGCTTGCCGTTCTTCGTATTCTAAAGCATTCGACTAGGGATGTGCACGTCTTAAGAAAAAATAGTAAACCAAATAGGAATTACCATGAATAAAATCAGAGTTGTGATGACAGGGAGAGTATAGATGAGTGCATACCTCCGAATGAGTAGAAAAATGCTTTTATGACACCTTTCGCTTAAGGTCATAGAGAGAAAATCTAAATATTTTATCTAGCTTAAATTACTTTATTAAAAAATATATATTGCTTTTTATGATATTATCTAGATAAATACATCCCATGTTTCAAGCGATGTTTCTAAAAAGAATCTTTTATTTATTGTACATGTGCACACTATTTTTTTCGCAAAGTATAAGGTGTGTGTTCAGCAAAAGAAATCTGAAAAAGAAAATAGTATGTGAGATAATCACAGACAGTCACGTATGGATAAGATTATCGATAATTATGATCACATATAATGAAAACAATCACGTTTTTAAAAACAAACAAGAAATAATTCAGATGACTGCTTAGTCCTCATCTCAACTAGAA